CTGCAATTCTAAGCACATGATTAGACTGTCTTTAAGACAAATTCCAGTCAAAATGTAGAAATACTAGTATTGACGTAAATTATCATTGAAACATAACCTCATCACTAATTTAATGATCTTCCCAATTCCATCCTTAATCCTAACCTTAACATTAATCTAATACTTCACCTTAATAACCATTTCAATATTAACCTAAAACTTAACACCTATTTTATGATAAACCCTAATCAAATAAAAACCACACACTACATTCATCGTGAACTCTAACTACACATTTTACTCTTGCCCAATTGCATATTCAAAGTTTTATACTTGTCCAGACTACCCAGTTTATATCAGAATAGGAACGATGACTACAGTGGATGCCATTGGTGTACCATCCAGACCCCATTCACAAAGCCAGTGCACCCATCTCTCATCCGCAGTGGGTGTTGAGTGCTAAGGACTAACAGCTCCCCCTTTCTCCGGCAATTTGTCCTTGGTCAAATAGGAAGCACCTCACCCAGGAGGTTACACTATGCCCCCCACATGAGGAGGGTCTAAGAGGCCAGTGACTGCCTGACATAGGGGTACCAAAGGCCAGTTCCCTTTGCCTCCGGGTGGGAACAACACTGTGATGCAATTTGTTCTTCAGAGCTTCCAGGAACCAGGCTGAGGCTGGTCTCCANGTTGAGCACAGGAGGAACCAGTAGATAGATGTTGGCCATAATGATGGGTAGGAGGGAGTCATGTTGCTTGCTAAAGCGGTGGACCATGGACAATCCAATGTAAGGTACATAGAATATGAAAACAGCACACACATGAGAGACACAAGTGCCAAATGCCTTTGCCTGGGCTTCACGTGTCAAGCCCAACACTGTCTTAAGGATAAGCAGATATGAGAAGGAGATGAGAAGTGAGTCCAGTCCAATGGCAGAGATGATGACAATGAGGCCATAGATGACATTGACATGGATGTCAGCACAGGCCAGCTTCATGACATCTTGGTGTAGGCAGTAGGAATGGGAAAGGATATTGGAGTGGCAGAAGGGCAACTGTTTGATTAAGACAGGTATGGGTGCCGTTATTGCAACACCCCGCACCACAGCAGCCATGCCAATCTTGGTAACGCGAGGCAATGTGAGCACAGTGGCATGGCGCAGTGGGTGGCAGATGGCCACATAGCGGTCAAAGGCCATGGCCAGCAGCACTGTGGACTCCATGCCAGATAAAGAGTGGATGGCAAACATCTGTAGCAGACAAGCATCAAACTGGATGGTAGTGGAATTGAACC